TATTGCTGCCATATATGGTCTGGCGCCCCTTCTGTTTGCCTCGGGGTTCTTGATAGGCTCCAGAAGCGGATATGCAATATGATTGGCCCTGCCCTGGTGTCTCGTCTACAGTCACTTTCTCGCAGACGAACCATCGCCTCCCTCTGTCTGTTCTACAAATACTTTCATGGAAATTGCTCCGAGGAGCTGCATTCGCTGGTTCCCAGACTTCATGAGTTCAAGCGCCCTACGAGGCTGGCATCCCGCTCTCACCCCTTCACTGTCGAAACTCCTAAATGTAGCCGTCTCTTCTACTCTAACAGCTTAATGTCTCGCACCTCTCGCCTGTGGAACTCTCTTCCCTTCTCCTGATTCCCTGTGAGCTATAATCTCCAGCTATTCAAGTGTAATGTCAATCGACATCTCCAGTTGCCTTAATCTATCCACTACCCTCATCCTTTCTTCTATCACTCCTATCTGATCTTGCTATTTTCTGTAACCCCTTGCGTCCTAGTGGCTTCCCGCCTTGCTTGGGGTGAAATGCTTTAAATATATATATATATATATATATATATATATATATATATATATATATATATATACAAACCTGCAAACTCTATCCGTATCCATATATTCTGTTAAAAGTAAAAATAAAATCCTCTTTGTTGATTGCTAAATGTATAACAGAAAGTGGACAGGAGGAAGAGGAAAAAGTACTGCAACGCTATGCCATCGGAGCCCAACTGCTGCGAACGTGTATGGCTGCCTTGCATTGGCTTTATCAAACACAATCCTACCTGCAATCGACGTGAAGAATCTTTTTGATCTTTGTTTTGTGAAGCCAAGCTATGATATATACGCATATATATATATATATATATATATATATATATATATATATATAGATAGATAGATAGATAGATATAGATATAGATATATATATTCCTTTCGTTTTTGACAAATGGTGAAAAAGCATTTAAGAATTTAAAATAATGAAGATATTGCATATATCCGCAAAAAAGCGCATGCGCACACCCATAAAGACGCACACCTAAATACACAAGATTATTTACATAGGGTATTAAATATTTACACAGAGCATTTATTTAATACTTAAATTTCAATGTGAAACAAAAAATAAATAAATATAAAAAAAACTATCAAATTCTATATTTTTGAAAAGTTTAAAATATCCTTTAATTTCGGGTTCGGCACGCGCACAGAAATTTGACTGAATCTGTAATGACCTCCTCCCAAAATGCTAATATTCTCCTGGGGGTAAAATTTGAGCCTGAACAAACACAAGGGAGCAGTTTGGCAAAAATGGATTAAAAATATCCAATTGTTTTTAAGCAGAACATTTTTTTATTGGCAGTATCTTTGTGAAACCAACGATAGTATTTCTTAAAAGCAATTTCGTATATTAAAATCATTTCAGAAGGAATGCGAAATAAAAAATTCCCTTCTAATATATATATATATATATATATATATATATATATATATATATATATATATATATAAAAATATAAAGGGAAATTGGGAGAGTGACGTGTGTGGTTTTTCATTTAATAATATTTTACTCAAGTCCACAGGAAAGTTTTAGTAAATAACTAGTCATTTTACGAATTTTCGTTAATCTTGCACAAAATAGAAAATTTTATATATATATATATATATATATATATATATATATATATATATAGTTTTAAGGTGTGCTATATTTATGGGATAAAGTGCTCAATATCAGAGATAGAGCGTATGTAAATATAAATATAAAAGTGAACATTGAAGTCAACACTCAGAGGCGACAGGCTGTTTCATGATAGGCGCAATCGAGGCTGTATTCAATGTTGCTGGTTTCATCAATGGTCACAACTGCCATTACTCGGAATCATGTGATAACGATCCGAACATGACGGTTGAGAGGGTGTAAATGTGGCCGTGTGGTGCGGAATGTCGGCAACAAGTGTCGATGACCCACATCTTCTGCGTGACACCATGAACACGGACCGCTAGCTTCAGATGGTCGAAAATTACGTGTGGTCCACGGTATCTGGCTGTGATAGCATTGGTACCTGATATTCATGCAGGATGGTGCGACATTCCATTATACGTTTACTGGGCGTGCGGGGTTAGACCAACATTTTCTATGACGTTGGATGAAACGATGCAGGCCTCATGAATGGTCTCCAAGAAGTCCAGATCTCATTCCATGTGATTTTTACCTGTGCGGTTACACAAAAGAGGAAGTATACAAGACAAAATCTCGTACACTGGAGGACATAGAGACACGGATTAAGGAGGTCCTCAATGATTCCCAGACGTCGTCCTTCAGAAGGTTGTTTATTCCAACTCTGGCCGTTTGTGGAAATTGGTTGACGCCACCGCTGAAATATAAAGATTTACTTTCATTTTCCCATGTAATAAACAACATATTTCATTTGTTTCATTAATTTTGTAATAGGAATATGGATTTTATTACCAGTTTTTAATGCCTATTTACTTATCACCCACCCTG